AAAAAAAAAAAAAAAAAAAAACCTTCCACAAGCAATTCTTGTTACTTGGCTACCAAGCATTTCCGTAATACCCCTCATGCTATTATGTGATCTACTTGGCTGACCACATCCCAGTTGTCCAAATGAGTCACTACCACAGGAGAACACACGTCCTTCATATGTCAGTGCAATAGTATGACTATCACCACAACCAACATTTACTACGGAATGAATATTTGGCACTTCAGATGGGTTATTGTCATCTGAAAATCAGCAGTGAAACAAATTTTAAAACAGTTTTTTTGGATAAAGTTAAAATGAACCGAAATTAATTCACAATAATTACTTTCATCAGTATATATATGTATATATAGAGGAGTATTGTACAGTATTATAAGTATACACGGAAGTAGTGTATAAATTATATAATGCTGTTTGAAATAAAAATTGATTAAAATTGTAACTGTTAAGAACTATTCAATATCTCTAACATACAAACTTACCTTTGTTCCTAAAATTTCCAAGTTGTCCGTCGTTATTCTTTCCCCAAGCATATAAAGCTCCACTCGCAGTTAAAACCATCGTAAACAAATTCCCTGCACTCACTAAAATCTAATAATTAAGCACCAAAAGTAACAAATAAAATCAAATAGGTAGAATGAAAGCTACAAACATATAAATGTTGACTTGCCTTGTATTACAGGCACAGAAATGAACAGTAAAAGTCGAACCGGACTATACGATATATGTCCGTACCCCTGTTGGCCCCAAATATATACTTCACCAGCTGAAAACAACTTGTTAAAAATTAAAATTTCCGTAAGCTGAAATGAAAACCTCACCCTCGTTCAGCGATACCGTATGAGATGCTCCACAAGCCACTTGGACTGTTTTAGAAAGTGAAACACGTCTGAAAAAAAATTATCACTTATTTTACAGAAATAAGTGATACTTCTACAAGTTTCTGATTTACTTCAGGACTTTCGAAACCATGGAGCAGAAAGTTTAAGCAGGATCTACTTTCGTGTCTAGCAACCAATCTAAATCTTTCACCCATTATTTTTTAAAAAGAAATTTTGAATAAAAAATTACGTTGGGACATTGGAGAAAATAATATTTGCTGGCTGCGCGATTTGCCCATGACTGTTACTTCCCCATCCAAATAAACGTCCATCCTCTGCAACTGCCATACTATGATTTCGACCAGCTGCTATTTGAATAATTTTAGAATGGCTTGATAAGTTTATTGGACGGATAGTGTACGAGCATTCTCCACCAGCCACTCGACCAAGTTCTCCGCTACAATTACAACCACATGACCAAACCTATAAATGAACAAGCATGCGTAAAATAATAATAAGTTTCAGATGAAGACTGAAAATTACTACGACCACGCAAATATTTGAAAGATCAGCCTATTGCAAGATTACAACCAACTTTAAAAGATTATTAGGCGTCGCAAATACGAATCTAAGTGTGGTTAAAAACCTACTATAGTTTTCATAAGTAATTCTGAAAACTAGGCGTTAGAAATTTTTTCCACAGCATTTTCCAAAGCTGTAGGCCAACAACTAGAACAACATTCCTTAACATGAATAAATAATAACTATTGGTAAACACATATTAAGGTTAAAATTGCGACGTCCAAGAAAAATTAAGTTTTCGGAAAGGAACAACAAAAAAGGAGCATTAACAATATGAAATATCGAAAAGCACACCAGTTTATTAAAAACATTCAACATATATAATGAAACTTTGAGAATGGATGAAATATGACAAAACTACCTCTCCATTATCAGACAAAAATAAGGAATGTTTTTCACCGCTAGCGACTGCAACTACATTGACTCCAAGTTCGCCAGTAGGTGCACTTTTAATAAGCTGGGGAAAGCGAACTGTTTCAGTATCAATGTCAACATTACTTGGACGAAAACCCAACTGTCCATTTCCCGCGCAACCAAATGCATATAGCTGACGATTACACATGGTTAAAAACTGAAATCAAACAAAAGTATTCAATTCATATAGTAAACATATGAATCCAGTACTTAAAAGCTGCTAATAGTGTAAAAATTTTGGCATTACTACGTCAACTTTTGATTTCGCTTTTGTTTTCAGATTAAAAAAAACGTTTTTATTTATGTGAAAACAAAAATATCAGCTGTACGAAATGAAAGGTACTGTACTCGAATAATCTATTTTTTGCCAGAAAGGTTCATCAAAAAGTATGCATGCCGTATGCATTGACTTTATTTCAATTTCCGACCCCAATATGCAAATAAAAATGAAAAAACAAAAAAATGAAAAACAAATCAATAAAAAAATTATCGAGGTGAAGCAAATGATAGTAATTGATTTTTTACGTACTTTACGTCAGTCTAAATGATTGTTAAACGCACTAATACTAGTCCAATACTACCATAAACTGATCACACGCTCACACCTTTAAGCTTCATCTCCATGTAAAGCTTACAGCACACTGTGATAGCAACAATGAATAATGTAGTTGGTAAATAACGGGCCGTCTTTACAAAAGCAGTGCTGCAATTTGCTCTCAATACCTCGGAGTAATCGCAGGTAGTTAGTAATTTCTGTTTCGCGTACAGTCAGTTTTGATTATTGCGTGCGTTAGTAAAAGTTTTTCATAATGAAGCATCGGCGAAAATACACGACTTGTAATTTATGCATTTGAAGCAAAATATATGTACGATCAGAATACGCCACTTGCATATTTATCCGCTAATTCCGTATAAATCACATAATTTTTGTTAAGAGCTAGCAATTAAGTTTTTGTTTTTATTTTCCTTTTGTTTAATCTTAAAAATATGAGTTATACACTTTACCGTGCTAGGGTCCTCTCCCTGAATCCTTTCCGAGTTTCTGTTTTAAAAGGATCGCTTGTTTACGGTGTCTCTCCCATATTTGCACTCAGTTCCATTGTATACTTATATTTACATCAGAATAGTCAATCAGCACGTGGATGGAAATAATCAAGCATGATTAGCACCTGATTTTTTTAGAAAGTATTGACATCAAGTGATTAACCTTTTTCTTACCTACATCTATGTTTTGAATCTAAGAAGTAATTCGCATAATAATTTTACTGAAAATGGTCATTTAATTAGACACCAATTATTTTACTGAAGCAGTCATTAATATCGGCGGTTTGAAACTATGAAGTGGACAGAACTCATGTAGAAGTAATATGATGTGGAGGGTACTTATTAATTGCAGCGATTTCCTCACGTAATCTCTTATTTATTCGAAAGTTTTTTCATCAAATTTTTGCCCTTCAAATTATTTATTTTCAACAATACTGGTCAGAAATAGATATATGCATAATACTGAAATGTCTTTTATAAATATGATGAAAAACCCAGAAACGTAATTTTAGAAAGCTTCTCATCATTTGTTCGCAAAAAACTTTGTAAATTAAATGCAAAGTTTAAAGAAATAATAAAGAGCCCTGTGGATTATCTAAGGTGAAGTTAAAAATTATAGCACGAAGATCATTGCTATAGTTTTCTGCACAGTTATGCATGTATTCGTTGTTACATTTTGTCTAGGTGAATTTACGAAGTAATTCATCAGGTCATTTGAGATTTTTATAGAATCTTCAAGGATGTGTTGTAATGCGGTGATGCTGCATTTTATATTTTGTTGAGCAGGAAATTATGGAATGCTAAGCTGTACCTTTGTTTTTGAATCATCTTCCCTATTGCTCTTAATTTTTCCTTGTTATAATAAAAAGGTTTTTCAGGTTTCTTTCTGTGTATGATGCTCCTTGCTCGAAATTTTTATTCTGTTTGTGCTCTGACATATGGAAGACAATTTAGTTCAATAACATCCAATGTGAGGGCTGTTTGCATAATTGGTTCTGGTACGATGGGTTCAGGGATAGCGCAGGTTTGTGCGATCTTTCTTCCGTGGAATTACAGTTGAAGTAGTTCAAAAATAAATGTATATTATTTATCGTAAATCTGAATGGTAATATTTTCAAAACTTTCGTTAGAGAAAATAGATTAATTTTCGACTAAGCTGTTAAAGATAGATTTAATTTGTTGCTATTTTTATAAAAATGTATTATGGATACTATACGTAGACTTTAGGTTGCAGCCCAAGCATCAATAATGGTGATATTAGTGGATAAGGAGGACGCTAATTTACATAAATCAAAACAAAGTATCCAGATTAAGTTGAACCGAATAACTAAAAATCTTTTTAAAGAAGATGTGAAAGTAAGTTTTAACGAAATTGTTTGCTTTTTATTAACTCGCTTCATATTATTCCTTTATTGGTAATTAAACGAATGACAGACACAAAGAGCTGTGGTCGAAGATACTATGAAAAATATTACGATCACAAGGAATCTTGAACAAGGTGTCAGAAAGGCAGATTTGGTACTTGAAACGATAGTTGAAAATTTATCAGCCAAGCAGAAATTATTTGCGGAGATTGAAGCAGCTATTACAAGGTTTCTGTTTCTTCTTAGTAAGTTCATTCAGCATAAAGTCATGTATTGCGTAAAAGTACCAAGATCATTGGGAGTCTTACGGCTTCTAGCAACACCATTTATAAAGGCAGCTCATGTATCTCTATTTCTAATCATCACGTTATTACTAATAAATAAATAATGTTGAAAATAATCATTTTTCATTTTAATTTTAAGTGCTACATCGTACGCGTTTTGCATTTCTGTGTGAGCATATAATGTTTAACTTTTAGACTGACCACGACATCAGTTCGTCCTAAATTTTCAGACCAACACTTCTCGCAACCAACACATCATCATTGAGATTAAAAGAAGTGGGAAGAAACTTGAGAAATAAATCAAATTTTGGTGGTTTACACTTCTTCAATCCTGTGCCAGTAATGAAACTGTGCGAGGTGGTTTCTACAAATATGATCTATTAACTAATGAAGCAGTGGATTAATAGTCTGTAACAATGACGATGACTTCCTTGAGATATTTAATCCTGAGGTAATAAAGGAACTGAATAGACCATTAAGATTGTCGTACATATTCTTACCTGTAGTGATGTGAATCATAAGCAGAGTAGTTCACACTTGCTGAAAATTAGTTTATAGGTAATACGAGTAGCAGAAACATCAGATGAAACTTTCAGTGCTCTTCAGGCATTTGGAAAAGCAATCGGCAAAACAACTGTTGCATGCAAGGTACTGACAATTATTAATACTTTAGCACATTGCTCAGACTACAACTGTTATATTCAATTTATATTTTAGGATACTCCTGGTTTCATTGTAAACAGACTACTGATTCCCTATTTGATAGATGCAATTAGAATGGCTGAAAGAGGTGACGCAACACCAGAAGATATTGATAAAGCCATGAAGTTAGGAGCTGGTTATCCCATGGGACCATTTGAATTGTTAGATCTTATCGGACTGGATACTACGAAATCTGTCCTTGATGGTGAGAACCAAGATTCACCGGAAACTTTCAAGTAACCACTCTCATTGCCAAAGATTCTCCGAATATACTTCCCTTGAACTTCATTTCAGGATGGCATAAGTCACACACAGATGAGAAATGGTTCGAGCCAAGTCCTTTACTTGACAAGCTAGTGGCTGAGGGTAAGATAGGAAGAAAGAGTGGAGAAGGATTCTATTCGTATAAGTAGCGAATTATGTAGGATGGTAGTTGAATGCAGCTATTCATTATCACCGAAATTCCCTTTCAGTGATATGTTAAATGTCATAATTTAATAGCATAAACAGATTAATACTGTAACATGAAGGAAGAAATTATGATGGGTCTAACAAATCACATTAAAAAACCGAATAAAGAAAAAAACTTACCTTATACTTGGAAGTATATCACGACTTTTTAAAAATTCAATCAGTAATAAACTCTAGAACAACAGATTTTTGACCAATTTTAATTACAGCTGAGATAAAAGAAATTCATATCAAGTGTTACGACAAAATTGCCTTAAACTGATTATAGTGTTCCATAACATTACTATCGATTTCCGCTTCTCTAAAAAGCTCTTTTTCGAGTGCATCTTGAAATAAAAACAAATCGTTCCAATGCTGAAACATTTTCTAACATTATGTATTATTAAAAAATGATTAGGATATATTAGTAAGTAATTGGCATGTATAAGAAAAGCAAATGCGAGCTGTAATCGCAATATTGAAAAAGATGTAGACAAATATATAATAAGAAACAACTGAACGTCTATAACACCCCTCATTAAACCGCTAAAATGACAATTATGTTTGTCCTCGAATTAAAAATTCAAGAGTCTTTTATAAGCCATGACAAAGTGTTGAGCCAATCTAGTTTTTTTTCTTACACTTATTTAAGTCAACCTTTAAAAAGACGTTTTTGAAGCGCCCAGTAACATAGAGATACCAACTAGTTTCGAAATTAGTGCCATTATTTTCACAATTAATAATGTGTTCTGTCAATGTAACCGTGAATTTCTGAAAAATACGTGATCTTTTGATTCATACTGTGTTCCAATTCTGGTATGACATTGACACATCGATATGAACTGTAGATATGAAAAAAGTCTTAATAAAAGCTTCACAAGAAGCAGTCACTGGTGACTACCTTGTAATTTAAAAAATGCTGTTCAGAGCTGCTGAATGCAATGAACAATGAATAGCTTCAAAAACAAAAATAAGGAGAATAAAAGATGTAATTTTGCTTGGAATTGCTTTAAGTTCTGCTTCCTGAAAAATATAAACAAACATACATGCAGCACGTCCAGTAGTAGATTCTTCAAGCACTCGTCTAGAACTTCGATTTCATTTTCTTTAACTGGCACTTCAGTCGCGTTGAGATGAACCATGCTTTGTTCATCCGTTTCCATAACCTACAAAATAGTGCTATTATATTTATGAATAAAACAAACGACTCAATTTTTGGCCAAACGAAATCCTCAATTTGAAAGCTGTGAGAGCAAAAAGCATACGTTATCTTAAAACAAAAAAAAACTAACAAAATCTTCGTCACGGTTTTGTCCTTTCCATTTCCGTCTCAGCTTCATGTTTACTAAAGCTGCTTTGCTTCGACGTACATGACCACTAACATGCTCAAGAGCCCTACTTAACACTTCCCAAACCCATAACCTAGAATTTCACATGCCTCAATGGGAAATACAATTTTATAGGACCAAATAATTCATCTAATACTTCTATACCGTTCAAATTCTGGCTTTATCTCATCACTGAACACCCAAGCAACAACGGAACTGGCATCTACTATTGACATCTTCAGCAATTTTGTTACTAATACCGTAATCATCTGCAAAAATACCCAGTATAAACTTAAAACCTGAAAGGTGGAACATTTTGAAAACAACTGTTATTAAATTTTAAAGAACAAACAAGAAATAAATTAGCAAACGAACAAAGAGCAAACCTGTTTATGAAATTTCCACGTTTCATATAGCGAACGCAGTATATTAAGTTGCACATCCTCTCTGTTGCCAATGAACTCTTTCAAAGTCAAATAGTACCTAAATAAAATCGATTAATAAACTGAAATCATCAACTCCAACTAGGTATGTTATATGATGCCGAAATTTAACATGAATTTGAAGATCAGAGTCACTACCGGATTAATGTGAATTCTACGGTAGGTAGTAAATGGAAAGAATGGAGTGAATTATCCGAAAAAAATGAAAAAAATTGCTAGGGATAAATAGCATTTGTAAAAAAAAAAACAATTTCTAGAAGTATAAACGAACAAAGAAATATTGTTTATATCTAACAAAATTCCAGTTTACGAAATTAACCACCTTGTAAGGGCCGCAAAGTTATGACTGAAAGTTTTTCGAGCTAAAAATAGCAGCACTTTGAGGAAAATAGACATTTTTGAACTTATATCCATATTGTTTACAGTTGCATCACGTAAGAGATCATTCATTTCTTCTGCGGGTATTTTATCACGAAATGCTTTTTCGAGAGTTGCAGCAAAATCATGGTCTGGATGTTCTTCTGGAAAGAACATTCAACTTAAAACACATTAACTTGACGAATTTCACTCTGTAGACAGTCATCGTTATACGAGATTGAGATTGAATGAAGATAACATAAGCTGCGGCAATATTCCAAATTTACTTCATTCCCTTAAAGTACAACAGAAATGTTAAGTTGGTTCCAGAAAAGCATTTGAGCCATCAAAGAATTACCATCATTCAAATCATAACATATGGTAGGCTTCTCTGGTATCATTTTAGCAAATGTAGGAGGCAAAACTTCAGTCATTCTTTGATGATATGAGAGCCTCATACATTTATCTATTACCTGAAATTCACTTAAAAGATATGAGAAAAAGTTTACTAAAATCACTCAGGATCCATCGATGGCAAAACAAGAAACAACAGTTTTTATGAACCGCTTTCATTCAAATAACTCACACAGAGTTTTCTCACAGTCAATTTGTCTGGCGCAAAGAACAACAATTACCTCTCGAACAAACATATGCCTTGGGGCAAGATAATCCAATTTAATGCAATCATTCCAATCCGACCATGACCAACGGTATTCAAAATTTGACATATGATAGCTGAACCAGTCAATTAATCTGCAATGAAAAGATAAGAAAAATCACACCAACATTAATTTTAATGTGCTAAAAAAAAGAAATACTTACCTATCAATACAAATAATTTGCATTGAATCTATTCGTTGATAAAATAACTCAGCAGCTTGAGCTATCACCTGAAATAAGTACAGAATATCAATTACAAAAACGCCCTTTTCAAGAATTCAAAAAAATTTTCTCGCTTCCATTCTTCATGAATTAAGAAGGTTTAAAAACATGTTTTACTCATATGCAATTTATTCTATTTAGAAAACACATTCACACTTTACAACTACACCCTCACCTGAGGCATACTTTTGGTTTTACATAATTCGATCATTAAGCTTCCATAAAATACTGGCCGAGTTGGTGCTTCGGGCAAAAGAAACAACTGTGAAAATATCACTTCTAATATGACGTAATTTATGGGTACAAGCATGCGCTTGTCATACTCCAATAATTTCGATGCACTGAAACTTATCCAAGGATCAGGATAATTAAAACTTCTAGAAAGTCGAGGAATTGCGCTTAGAATGATGTAAGAAAGACTTTTTTGACATCGATAGCTTCCATTCCAAACGATTATATGAAAGAAAATCCAGAGGAACAACCAAAAAGAACAATAAAAGTCAATATTTTAGATGCACGCACCATTTCTTCCTGTTTTTTTTTTCTTTGTCCAGAATCCAACACAATTCTTCCTCTACTAGAAATCGCTCAATAGAATGAGCACCAGGTAGCAGCGGTCCCTAAAGTACAAGAAACACTGTGAACAAGGAATGCTTGATTTAAAACGAAAGACTGAATCAACAGTCAGGGAACGCTTAATAAATTAAGTGGCAAATAACAACTTACATCATCCGGACAATCAGCATAATCAAAAAATCGAAACACAACTTTTGGGAGAGGATACATAGTTTCCGTTGTATGTATTGGAGGTTTAAAGCTGGAATTTGTTAAAAATAAAAAATTTAATATATTCCAATATTTTACTGTTTATTCAGATAAGAATCAACTACTCAATACTAATGATGAAAAAAGATCAAATCATGTTTTTTTTTTTCTTTATTTGTCATAGAAAGTGGAAAATGTGCGGAAAAAAAAGATACTCGCCTCTTTAAATCTCTTAAACTTCAATTAGCTCAATCATTTCTGAGAAGTATTCAATAACAGCAAAACTTAGTAAAACAGAGAGCATGAATCAAATGCTTAATACCTTGGTAAACTATGCTGTAGGGCGTCTGTTAATGTGCCATCGAATGCAACATAGTGACGGGTGATGAATTTTTCCTTCCAATTATCAGACCGTAGTTTTGAAATCTGCGCCCACAAACAATCCAGATATTCTTCTTGTTCATGGATGGATTTCGACCAAACTTGTAATATCTATGAATATATTTATCTGAGATAACTGTATATATGAGAAAAAAACTGAAAACACTAAAACTAACTTTTACATGATCTTTGTTTCGAAAATGCAAACAATTTTCAATCGTACTCAACATGGTATTTAATTCATCTTCAAGTTTATCGGCAAGTTCCTGGCCAATCCATGGCAGACAATGTAAAAACGCATAGATATACCAGTCATTTCGTATCTTAAAAAGATAAAATCGCATAACATTGAAACTGAAAACAACAAATTTCCGTGAAATTCGTTTCATTTCATACTTGTGGGAATCCTTTTTCAGTAGCACAGCTGACAATGTCAGCAAGAAAATCTGCAAATGACTGCAGTGTAATTACACGACAATTGACCAAATCGGCAAAGAATGTTATCTGAAACAGTTACCATAAATTATAGAATCTGAAGTTTGACGAAGATATAAAATGGTAAGTTGACACAAATATCAAAACACCGAGCTTTCAATAATTTGATACCTTAGTAATGATACCAGCACTTCCAATTTTAGTAAATGATTTAAAAAAAAATGCTTTCTATTATATTTCTGACTGAAAATGAAAAAAAACATACAAGATACAGCGCACAGTCAAAATCATTAACTTCCATTGACTCGTTCAATTTTGTAAAAAGGCTATCCAGAAGCTGCAAAATAAACGAATTACAGTAAAAACTCAATTGCATCGTAGTGTGGTACAAAAAAAATAAAAAGTCGAAACATAAAATATAGCACCTCTGCACCGAAATTGTATTTTTTGGCATTCAGTAATCCGACCAAAGTCGAATAAACTGTTAGTTTGTTCGGCATGCTGCATATACTGCAAAGATATGTAATGTTTTTCAAAGCTTTATATAGCAAACGACAAATATAATATGCGTTAATTTTAACTTGAGTAAAACTCATTTAAAAAAGTTGAGCATACCAAGTAAGAAGAACTTTAATGATATGCTCCTTGTAAGATTCTAAATCCGTTTCCAGTATCTGTGTCAAACTTTCCAAATTGGATTCTAGAGAGGAGTTGTTCTGAAAATTCAATATTCAGTAAAATGCAGAAAAACAAACACTAGTTTAGATTTCCTAACAAAATTTGAAAGATATGACGTTCTGAAATCTACAATAGGCATACCTTTTCACCAACATGAGTCAATAAATCTGTCAATTTGTACACGATTTCATCCTTCATGGCATCGGATCCATGTCTCTTTCTTTTGCGTACCATTTCATCTAAAACAATTTACATATATCTGTTCTAAATAATCATTTCATATAAAGTTACCTTGTTCTGCAGTAATCAAATTTAACTAATTTGAATTACAAACATTTGTAATTCTTACATTTCAAAATGTAAGTAATGGATAAATTAAAATACTACAGAATAGTTTGACACTGTCTTAGACAATAAATATTGTGTGTAATTTATTTCTATTTTTGCATGATTAATTATGATCACAAATATGCTAAGTTAAACCATCGTCTGAATCAGCACGACGTCGTCGCTCCAGTTCATCCCCATCATTTTGTGCAATGTACATACGTCGATCATCATTGAACTGTTTTCGATAACTACGACCTCTACTGCCGGTCGAGAAATCGGTACGATCGGATTCTTTTTCACCATTTAACATTTTGTAAATATGTTCTACAACATCAAATTTTTGATAATCTCACTGATTTTGGTCTAGTTGCACTCTAAATTAACAATATAAAATAAAAGATGTAATACCTATGCATTGATGCAGAGTTGTCAATAAATATAATATATATAACGCAATATATGTAACTAATTTTGGTGAATTATACAATTGCAAAAACTGAAGGCAATAAACTAGCTTAATTAATACTACATGCTATACATGTAGGCAACTAAAGTTATATGTAATTTTGAATAATATACAACATTTAGACATTTTAAATGGCTATGACCAAATAGAACCAATGAAATTTAGGGAAAAAATGATTAAGGAAGACATAGTGATGAGCGGCAAAAATGCAATTAAAACATAGATTTGTCTTAAATTTGCATGCAAGTTGATAAGCCTCCCATACTTACTATATTTGCAGCAGTGATAAGCTTTTAATTAATTAGCCAAACAGACTGTATCCTTCCATTCCATTTCTTGTCACTTCAACGGAACGAATACCGCGCAGTATTAATGTGAAATGAAATACTGTCGGCTAATTGGCTACACGACTCCTAACCTACTGCACAGATCTTTTGCTTTCTGCGAAACATAACTGAGTGAGGGAGTGAGGAAGTGAGGAAGCGAGTGGGAGAGAGATAGAGAGAGAGGGGGAGTGAGTGAATAAGTGAGCAAGTGAGTTAATGAATGACGAAATGAACAAATAAATGAGTAATTGATTGATTGGTTATTTGATTGAGTAAGTGAATGAATGAAGGAACTGGTTGATTGATTAATTAATCATTTAATCAACCAATAAATGAGTTAATTGCTCAGTGAGTTGATGGATCAGTCAGTCATATCAGTCGATAATGTCTCGATGGTTTTTTCACGAAATCCTGAATATAATTAATGAATATTCTTGAGCGTGCAAAGAGCACAAATTGATGAAATTTATACGTAACTAATGTAACTATGATTTAAAAAAGAATGCATTTCGTTTTATAAAATTGAAAGTGGAAAAATTTTTCATATAATATTTGAATTCTTGCAGGCAAGCATTTTCGAATTTATTATTCTGATCTTTTCAAAATTATGAATTGTTACTTGATTCTGTATCTGTAATGTAAATTAGTTGCATTACTTTGAAGAAGTAGTCTTCATTTCAGTCAATTTGCCCATATTTCATTGCTTTGCTTGCAATGGTTTGTGATACAATTGGAAACCAATTCAATTTATTTATGTAGACGACATTTACAGGCATTTTTCAGTATTTTGCGATGAATATCATCAATTTATGAAAAAAAGAGTTGGTTTGACATGCAGATAGAATATTGGCCTGAAGTCAGTACCTTTGTTTGGGACATCCTTAAGGATTCAGATGGACACGCCGTGCCCTCGCAGAACCACGTGTCCTGTTCCTCCCCATCCAAACAGATCCTCCTGGCTTAATTCTTATTAAAATTAGCTTTCCATCTTGCTATCTCTCAAAAAATTAACTCATACTTTCGGCGGTTATTTCAACGGAGTTTGTGTTTCATATTTAGCTCAAATTTCATGCAATTAAAGCACAAATCTTCACTCAGATGGTCACTTTATCTGCATATCAAAAAATGTGATAATTTAATCTTTGATATTGCTTTTAATTTCGATCAGCTACGATTATTCACATAATCATATAATGTTTTAACTCTTAAGGATAATTAATTGCACATGTGCACTACGCTTTTAGTTTCTCATTTTGATTCCTCAAGACAAAAGCATGGGACGTTAGTTTACTGAAATCATTGAATTATCACGTGGTTGGCTTTACTGAACTTTTCACTTTTCTACATTCATTACAGTTTTTCAGTCATACTGCTGAACTGAGCAGCAATGTAGTAATGTGTTTCTAATTTGCTAAAATTTGCCTACAGAATTAAAGAACAAATGCTTGTTTAACAATGATTAGATCACAATTTACTTTTGATGAATTTTTTGCAGGTTTGAGCTTAAATTTGTATTTGCATAAAAAGTGGTGTGTCTCAATTCCACGCAGAGAATTCTTATGCAACTGATAAGTGATAATCAGAAATCAGTGAAAGTTAGTTATTGCATCAAATATCACGTGTAAAAATTGTCAAACATTTGTGAATTTCATAAAAGAGCGAAAAGCAAAAGTAAAATCCAAGCTATAAATTCAATGCTGGAAATTATTACGTGAAACGGAAGATGAAATTATTTGTTGAAATTATTTAACGTTGAAAAATAGCAGAAAAAAGTGTTGAATATTCTTGACGAAATATTGAATGCAAAAATTTTGATGATTTTAGATGTGTTCAATTTAAATTCTCTCTATAAAATTTTCGCTTACATATTTATTTTTGCTTTCATTTTAAATTACAAATCAAATATTACTTTTTCATTTATTGACTTTTATGCATTCAGAGATACTTATTTTCGTAGAGATTCTGAGTATATATTCTTAATTCATCTGTGTATACTTCATCTTTCATAAACTCTGTCTAACCTCTTCATTTCCTAACAAATAGATTCAAAAGCTATAACTCATCCCAAATACAATTCATTATTGCTTTTTACATATTCAGATTCTCACACAGTCACAAAAGAATTCTTCAGAAGCGAAGAAATTTTTAAATTGTTTGTTCTGTTTAGTATAATACCAAATTCATTGATAATTGATACGGTTTATTGCTAAAAAGCTTTCTCAGTTATATAAGCAAATCATTTTATGGATAATTTTAGATTAAGAAACCACTAGTATTCATAAATATAAAATCGAATAAATTGAAAATGAATTACAAAACTGGTAATTCTGAACGAGAATGCTCGGAAATGCTTTAATTATTAAGCATTTATTATGAATGCATTAATTTTTCGCTGCTTTGCTTGCAAATAGAATTTCATTTTACAATTTTCTCCACTATGCAATCAATTAGCTTCACGGTTTTCAGTAGCCGCACTCGCATAAAAATAATGTAATTTTCATTA